GAAAAACACAGTGTTCGCGTATTTTCCCCAAAATTCACAATAGAGGGCCGATTGAGAGTATTCAACTCATGCACTTCGCTCGTACGTAATTCCCGCCGGTCTTCCGTCAGAGGAAGCGAGCCGAGTCTCGTCAGGTGGAGAATCTTCCAGACGGCAATCGAGAAGAAGCGTCTCGAGACGATGCCGGCGTCCGATGAGACGGCATACTTGTTGATGCTGGTGGACGCGACGTATTTCGGCACACCGAATGGTCAGGCATGCATGCATGCACGCATCGATGCATAGGGAATTGAGCGCACGCATGATCAGCGTCTGCGAATTCTTTTTTTCATTCATCGAAGTTCGCTGTCTGGGACGAAAAATCTGACAAGTCGCTGCCTTGCGTGCTTATTCCGATTAGCTTGCTCCGACATGCGGGTGGGCAGGTGGGTACGGGCAGCCTGGCCCACCCGTTCGCCCGCCTGCTCGCCCGCTGGTCGCTCGGTTCCTCGTTCGCGTCCGTTGTGACTCGCGTCTTCCGCATCGACTTCACTCCCCCGCATCGAGGTAGCTTGCCGAGACTCGACGCGCCCGGTCTCCTCGCATATGGAATCGCTCAACAGCTGATTGGGGGAGCTCTCGTCTTCCCGCCGGTCCTCGCCCAGCCCTTCGCGAGGCTTTCAGAAGGCACCCGGAATGGAACGCAGACTACCTTTGTGGACAAGCGTCGGTGGTTCAGTGGTAGAATACTCGCCTGCCACGCGGGTGGCCCGGGTTCGATTCCCGGCCGACGCATTTTTATTTCGCGTCCGGATTGTCGAGTAATAGTTCTAGGATTTCAAAACGTTCGTAAGGGAGCCCGATCATCGAGACCGATGAGATCTCGCTCTACGGATTTACGGTCGTCGTCATACGAGACGCTTGTCGGTGGTCAGCATCGTCGGCCGTGGCGTCTAGATAGAAACATCAAGTTGCATAATAATTCCGGATTGAGGATGGTTGGCTGCTTAATGCTGCTCGCTATGCTTAATCGTATCATAGAGCGCTCGGGAAGAAGGCAAGCAGGGGCCTCCCCGAAAGCATGAAGATCACATTAACGCCTCAGTCAAGGTTGATGCTCCTTCAAACTGGCGAAAGGTGCGACCGATCCGCCGTTCACGACGAATCAGAGGCCCAGAAAATGAGAAAGTCTCGCTGACGGTAATCCTGTCGGTGGTAGTTCGGGCTTGCCTTGCGTCCTCACCTCGGGTGGAAAACTTAGCCCGGCCGTACCTGTCTCAGCGCAGCCCGCGTGACTCTCGGTCCGCGGAGTCGATTCGTCTTCGAGAAGAGTACATAGCTTCGAACTGAGAAACATGTAGTTGCGAGTTCCGAAATGCTCGTGTACTACCGAAGCAGAAACCAGAATCTCCACTTGGAAATGTGCCAGATCGGCTAACCTTCGCGTTTTGCGCGCTGACAGCGCGCACTCCGGCGAACATCGCAAAGTTCGATTCGAAGAACAACAAGTAACCGATACATTTCTAATTCACTTGGGTAGAATGGACGCACGATTGACTGACTGAGTGATCAAGCAAGCGACCGAACGAGCGCAATGATGACGACCGAGTAAATCGGAGCCGGAAAAACGGAGAAAACGATTTCTGAAGCAACCAACCAGAATGAAGCCAGGCTGAATCTCACGGAGCCATTCCGGTCCTTTGTAGAGCAATACCGAACGGAAAAGCGGAACCGAATGGATCCTCCATGACGTCTACAACGACAACAAATGAAAAGCATCCGATAATGGCTTGCGAAGGCAGAGATCTGCAAACAGAAATTCGGGAAGAAATGTCGAACAAGTTCGTCGTTGGAAGTTGACGAGCTCAATTCATCCATGAGAAATCATTTACCACAAAGTTCACCATCTACTCGTTTGCCCGCTCGCTTGCTCACCTACGCTCCCCGAAAATACGAGCATCGTAACGACACAGCCACGATACTTGACAAAGCGAGGCAGGCAGTCAGTCAGCCAGTCAGTCAGTCACACAGCGAGACTAAGTAAGTAAGCAAGTGAAACCGACAGAGATTTAAGAACGATCCAACAAAGCAGCGGGTCTCCCTTCAGCCATGGTGCAGCATAATTGCGAACATCGACATTTCGAAACCGTTAAGGCGATCTTTTTTTCGGCTACCTCCCCCTGCAGCGGCAACGACACACGGCTCTTCCTCCCCCTTTTCTGCTGTCGGTAATATAACTTCCCCTGGGGTTTTGCGGCGGACGGCGAGGGGAGCACAACTTAACCGAGGCGGCAAGCAGCCAGTCATCGAGCCAGCAGCGAGCGAGCGAGCGAGCAGTCAGGCAACCACAGAAATTGTCAATCTTGTATGAACTTGGGCCTCTTGCTTGAGGCACCGCCGAAGATTTCGCTGTCTTGCTGCTTCAACTCTCGATGCAGGATCAGGCGGCGAGCACGGAAAGGCAAGCTAGGCAAGCGATCGAGCGAGCGAACGAGCAGGTAGAAGTCAGGCGGGTAGTCAGGCAGGCAGGCAGGCAGGTCGGCAGACAGGCAGGCAGGCAGGCGGGAAGGAGGCAGGGGGCAGTCCGTCAGGATGGTGTTCACTCGGTCAAGCGTTTCTATCGCGTCGTCGAATTTTGTGCCTGACGCGTTTGCTGTACCTTAACAGCTTGGCATGTCTCCTCCCTTCTCGATTATTTCGTGGTATCGTGTAATTTACCTTGCTGCTGCTGCTGCTGCAGCGGTTTCTGCCTCTCTGCTGCCGAAAGCGATGCCGCCGCCGCTGCTGCGTATAATGCTCCGTCCCTGTTGTTCTAGCGGAGTCCTCCGGGCAGCCGGTGAGGCAACAATTCATAACTGTACTTTCACGGTCCGAGGAACCTGCGATTGGATCGACGATGTCTCAACTTCAAACTATGTACCTGAATAATTTTTCCTTAAACGATGGCACGAGCATCGTCGGGGCTAATTTCCACGATCGGGCCCGCAGTCCCTCCGAATGACTTTTCTAGATATCGCACTCGGCGCGCGGGGGCACCAGGAGATTTCTTGACCAACAAATGAAAATAAGGCCGGCTCTCTTGTTCCTCTGGTCTCGGAGCGGTCGATGAGATCTGAGCGTAATCCTCGAGCCCGTCCGTATCTTTCGTTCCGCGCATAGATCCGTGTTTTCTCGCCTTTCCCCCATGTAAAACTTCGGAGGCAGCGTTTGCTCTCCGCTAAGACTCGTAAAGAGCGACTTTCTTGTAAATATATCCGAGCCACCCCGGCCGTCTGTTTCGGGGTTCGTCGGTGGCTTCTGCCGCTCGGGCTATGCACGGCCACGTTTCCTCCATAGCCGTACGAACCGAGCTTGAAACCTCCGAATATCATGGAGGTTTCCGGTGCTGCCACGAGAGAAGTATCCTTACCGCATTCTTCTCTAACTTCCTAAGGCGCTCTGTCTGCTCGTCCGCCCCTGGGTTCGGGTAGCGGGTAGTGGCCGGTCGTACCCTATGTAGAGCCATACAGGCATTTATTATATGCGTATGCTTCTCCATCCCGCAATCGCGTGCTTGCAACCGCCTCGAATGCTCTGGACTGCCAAGCTCAAAAATATCGCGCTTGTGCAGCGTCTCGCATTCATGACTTTGAAATCAAGATTTTGCCGTGGAATGAACGAAGCGGCGTGATTCCTGGCTCGATGTCCGCCTCTGCCCCCTTAACAGGGTCGGACGTCGCATCGATACACAACATGGATGCGGGAGGTTTCGAATCCGCGATTTCTGCTTCGCGTCGAGTATCCGGATACCGTTGGATTATATTTTTTCGCAAACCTTCCAGCCAGGTCGAGACCGGTTCAAGTTGAAACGGGATGCTCTCGGGCTCGGATTTCGTATCGCCATGCGCCTCGCGTTCCGCTCGCTCTATTATTATCAGAGGGGCGAATCTAGATCATTTTCGAAGAGGAGTGACCGAGCCTGCGCCCCTTCCATAGATGCTATCGGAGCTTGTAAAAAACCTGAAGTTTGCTTGACACGTATCCAGACGAGACTTTCCGGGAAGCGTAGCGGAGCAGATCGATCACTAGATATAATGCTGCTTTCTCGAGCAGGATTCAGCAAACTCTTACGATAACGGACAAAGAAGTTCCGATGCGGAGTGTACTTAGGGAGTTCGAATGAGACAGTGCGGGTCCCCTATATAATTTCGTATGTCGTCCCAGAGCCCTCTGAGCGAGCGCTTGGGACCCGCATAGCTGCTCAGAGTTCAGAGTCTGGCGGCCAATCGCTCTGAATATCACCGAAACACGCATTCAATACCTGAATGTCGAGAATATTAGCTCCCTTCCCCGGATACTCTCTTGGCTTGAATTTCATCGGATCTCTACCTTTAAGGTTCTCACGAATCCCGGAGGTAAACTTTGATCCGTCATCTCAGGGAATTCGCGCAAGCCCGACGACGAAGTTCGAAGCCCGACACTGGTTGTCGAGGCGGTTCGCGTACGGTCAGCGGTAGCGTGGCCGAGCGGTCTAAGGCGCTGGTTTAAGGCACCAGTCTCTTCGGGGGCGTGGGTTCGAATCCCACCGCTGCCATAATGTTTTTGACCAAGCTTCACGTGAACAATAAATAAGATTCGCAAGTCGTGGATCATTTCCGGTCCATCGACTCCAAGTTTGATTCGAAGACAATCCCGACCCAAGTGACAGCGATTCCTGCGGCGGCTCGCGAGTGGCTTTCTTTTTGGGAACCGTATAACGTCTCTTGGTCGGATCGGTCGCGGAGAAGATCATCGATCATACTTTGCGTGCAGTCGATTTTTCGTCAAACCCACCTAGGCCCTAAAGGCGTTCGAGTCCCGGAACGACGGACGAGAGCGTTCTCATGCCTCCGACAGACCGATTCGACTTGAGCTGGGTGAACAAGGCCGGGCTTGGTGCTTGGTTCTCACGGTGAACGATTGCGGTCTCGCCGTCGAGATCGTGAACTACGCTTCTATGAAGCTTCTATACCGGCGTCAGCTGTTCGTTCCGTCGCGCTCTCAGCTCCTGTTGTCTCCTGTTGCCGTCGCAGGAGAAAAAGGAGCCGCTTGTCGTTGTCCTCCCCGGTGATCACGAACCGTAGTCGTAGTTGCCGGCTGCTGCTAGAGCGGCGGCGGCGGCGGGGAATCCCTTTGGACATGTGACAAGCGTCAGACATGTGCATGACGGATCGATCAATGTGTACTAGCGCTCCGGCTTTACGACTGATCGCGTTCAACTCTGCGCGATGGATCCCGACACGTGAAGAATGGATCCTAGCGAACAGGTTGATTCAGCGTAGCGAAGCCGAAAGGATCTCGAGGTTCGCTTTCAAGAAAGACGCGAAGGCCTCGATGATGGGACGTTTGCTGCTGCGGAAACTCCTCGCCGATTTCAGGATTTCCAATTCATGCGACGATCTCGAACGGAACTCCGATGAACGACCTATCCTGAAACGCCCGACCCGGGGATTCGACTTCAACGTATCTCACCAGGGGAACTTCAGCGTCGCGGTCGCTGGATTTTGCGGGAAACTCGGCGTCGACATCATGCAGATGCAGTACACAGGTGGTCGCACGATCCCGGAGTTCTTTCGACTGATGAGCAGACAATTCACCGAGGACGAATGGGTCTACATCAGGCGACCGTCTGACGAGAAGGACCAAGTGGCGAATTTCTATCGAATGTGGACGCTCAAGGAAAGTTATGTGAAAGCCATCGGCGTCGGACTCGCAATGGACCTTCAGAGAATCAACTTCAGCGTCTGTGAACAATTGCGTCTGGGCGAGCAGTTACGCTCCACCACGGTGAAGGTAGACGGAACCGCTCGGCCGGAGTGGACATTCCACGAAATTTTGGTCGATGACGAACATTGCCTTGCCGTCGCAGTATTCGGTCAGGACGACAAAAGCGTCGGCCGTTGTGAGCAGATCGACTCATTTGGTCAAGTGGTTTCCAATTTACAACCCAGAACCGAAACCTGCTCTGACGTCGATGATCGCCTCGTGGACGAGCTGTGGTCCCAATTCAAGGAAAGAGCGGAGAAACCCTGTCTCTGAATTCGAGCCCTTAGGGATTCGCAAGTCGAGGTTCCTGAGTGCCGAAAGTTTCCACGTTGAAAGAAATAAGCGTCCGGTTCGGAGCGCGCTCTCCGAACCACCTCGCGAACTTGTACAAAGGGTAGGGTGGCAAGCAGATATACTTACATATGATTTGAGCCAAAGAGCGCGAAGCGTCTCCTCTCGACCCATGTCGACGAGAGGAGCAATGCAATGATTAATAAATGGAAGTGTGAGCTGCGTGAAAACGAAAATCAAACTCGACCGATAGATGGGCAGCCTTTGAGGATTGTGGATCATTCCCTCGCGACTCCTTCAGATTTGTCCAACGAGCCTCACCTCAATATATATTCCCGTTCTCAGTAAATGAGATGGCATTTTTCAAACTTTGAGCGAAAAGTCGCGGAGCGGAGCTCAGTTCCTGCTCTTTGCAACGCAGCAATTTGCGGATGATAGCAACCAGACCCTTCGGGGCAAAGGCGCTTGCGCCTGTTCTGAGCAGGCGGGGATATTGGCATTATTTTATTAAATTTCACCTAACAGTGCATTCCTCCCTTCCCGCCGTCGTCGGTCAGTCGGTCTGCCATTTGTTGTTGGATGGCCACAGGGGCCGGAGTTGAGGTGGTGGTGGTGGTGGTGGTGGTGTCGGTCGTCGTCGCCGCCGCCGTTCTTTTCCCGCTCCTTATCTCCCCGAACTCGAATCGCTATTCCGTTTGAAGCAACCCCACCACTGGCGGCAGCAGCCACCATCACTTCCACCACCGCCTTCACTCGAAACTCCCAAACATAATTCTGCTCTCCCCGATCACCAGGCCGGCAGTCTGGCTTGCTGGCTGCCCGCCTGCCTGCCTGTTTCCTTGCCCGCCAGTCGGTCTTCCAGTCAGTCAGGATGTGGAGCGGGATTGGAGGCGGGATGGCGAGCAGTCGCGAGGGCGCTTGCGGGAAACGACGGAGGCAAATTTTTAGCGTTCAAAGGGACGGTGACTCTATCTAACCGTCACTGGGAGCTTCACCAGTATAAGAGGTATCCGGGACTGGCTCGGGATAGGTCTCCGATTTTTTTCTCTGCTTCCTAAATTTCTCCAGACCTTCCATCGCTGTGTGGCTTCGAGGTTTTCAGAGATTGCGAAGGTTCCCTCAATGACGAATGGCTCGAAATTGCAATCCGGTAACCCAACCCTCCACTCCGGATTTAAACTAAGAAATCGGGGCGAAGCTCGGTATTCCGAGCGTCCGACGTACAGTTGATGAATTTCGTTCCCTTTCAAATGGAAGAAAAAGAATGAGAATACGCGAAGCCAGACTCCTGCTAATTTTGCACCTCCGGACGAAACCGCACGAACATGAGCATCAACTCAAGCGCCCGAAAATTATCTTCATTCGAAACGGAAGCTTCGCCGGATGTGAGATGTTGCTGTTTAGTTGCTGTTCTCCTTCCGTGGGCTTGCGATCTTGCCTCGTAACCCGCCACGGCTGCTGTCGCTACGACTGCTGCAACTGCCACCGCCGCTGCTGCCGGCTGCGGTGAGGTCTTCCCTGCTGCTATGGCGCTGCCATGCCCCCTGTCTTTCCCCGCGTAATTCGCTCAAGCTGATTCTTCCTCGCGTGGAACATAAAGAAGCTACGGAGGGACAAAACTACCGAGGAAACTGAGCCAACCAGTCGAAAGCGGGAGACAATGGGGAGCGTCGACATTAAGAGAAGTCTTGATTGCGAAAACTTCAACACCAGGCGAGAATTTTCAAACGTTACATATATTCCAGGGCTGAAAGCTCATCCAAATTCCCTTGTGCTCGCATCGATCCCGTTGAACAGCTTCCATATACCAAGTCTCCCATCGCCAATTAGGGTGCATATCATCACTCCTCACTCCTCAAACGGCAGATTTCACGTACAAATCTGCTGGGGTCATCAAGAATTCCGGGAAAACCAAACAAGGTTCAGAATCGTCTCTGGGGAAAACGGATCGAGCACGAAATTCGACAGGACCGTCATCCGGATACTTCGAGTATCGGAGAGGAACTTTTCTTGAGGGGCAAATAATTAGAACGTCCTCGTTACCGCTCCCTTCATCGAACTCGTTCCCATCCGGTGATCCTACGGAGACTCCTCCCGGCTCCAGGGCTCGTTCCAGGAGAAACGAACCGAGTGAAATTCGGAAGATCCATAGGGGAGATTCATGGTGTCCAGTTGATAGTTTGATCGTCACGTATGGGACAGGGGTATTCGCCATGGATGAATATTGGACGGATCGATTATTTGACGCTATGATTGATCTGCAATCCTTGGAGTTTTATTATTCCGATGGGAACGGGACTTTTTTTCGGCGAATTCCCTCTGTCTGTGAGCACGGAGCACGCTCGCCGCGAGAATTCCTCTTCCTTTCATGTCTTTCTTCATTCCTATATTCTCTGTTTTGCTCGATGCAGGCGAATCCAGTCCAGCCTCCGCCTCGTGGTGACTCTTCGCGGAGGTTGTCACGTATCGAACACGGTGTCGTATCAGAATCGACGTCGAACAGGATCACGGCACTGACGACTCCGACAGGATAGCGGGGGTTCGGATCGAGCCATTTAAAGCGAGTCGAAACGGAATCGAAGCGTCGCGTCGTCGTCGTGACGAGCAAACAATTCCTTACTTGAGCGATCTAGATCCGCGTCGCAGATCCGCGCGAATGGACCTCGATCACAGAGGTCCACGACAAGGGTCCACGGCAAGCTTCGTGGACTTCAGTCAAACGACTCCTTTCTAAACGAAGAAGGTACGCAGCACGACCTCAAGATGACGACGCCGAACCAGGGGCACCGTGTTGGAATTCTTGGCCTGGCCTCTCTGGCCGTCATCGTCAGAGACGCTCGCTCTCCATAGCCACCACCCCACCCCAGGTGCATGGGCATTGTGCAGGCGTCCATTCTCGATGCTCGGTTCTCTAGGAGCCGTATGCTTTGTTCCGTCCGTCGGAGAAAAAGATTGAGGGGGTGGTGATGCAGCTAGAGCCGAGGCTCCCGCTGGAAACCAGCATTTATGGCTCTGAGCGCACATCAGCTGACTGCAGTCGGCTATGCGGCAGCCTGAGATGCCCTCAGCGATTCCCACACTATACCCTCGACGACCCTAGGAACCCCTTCGTAGTGGACGGATTGTTGTAGTTTTCAACGGTATTCCTGTTTTTTTGGTTCGAGAAAGGTCCTCCCCTGGCCGAGGAGCTAAGCGAGAGTTTACACGCAGGAATCCCGCTCGCTCAAGATTCTCCTCGTATAGCTTGATTCCCGTATTCCCCACATTATGTCGTCAGCTTCGTAATTCTAGCTTCGCGAGATATGGAACTCAGGAGCTCTGATTTTGAAGGGGGACCGAGAGACACTGCTTTGGTGGCGATTATTGGAAACTTCCGGGATTTCGCGTCCCCTCCGACTCGAGTCCTCACAGGGTTGAGATTTGGACCTCGGCAGGGTATTCTGATGGAGGATGGTGGAAGAGCCGGATTTTGATGGAAAACAACTCGACCGAGCAGCTGGGGAATACCAAGATATCAAGGATTGAAGTGGGTAGAATTCGAGCTGAAGAACGCTGGAGAAGTTTCTCGCGAGTTCGCGGAAGCTTGACGCTAGCTCGAGGAAACTAATTCCAGACGCGTGTTCATGCGCTGCATGCAGTCCCTTTGATTCGGTGTTTTTCTCTCTTGTAGCCGTACGCACATCGATAATTAACGAGCATGGCGAGAGGTTCTTCCGCGAGGAAAATCCATGTCGAAAATTGAGATAAACAGAAAATTCTGACGCTCTCGAGCGGTATTGGCAGAAAAATGGTAATCCCTTCGAGGAGGATATATCCGATACGAAATAGGGAAGTTTTCATTTTGTTTATGGATTTCGACTCTTAGCGCTCGGGGTTCGCCGAAGTACTCGAAACTGGGGAAACCCGGGGAAATACTGGAACTCGCGAATATGGATCTGCGAAAACCCATTGAGAACAATTATTGACTCGAGAGAACAGTGACTTAGGCAGCCCGGAGGTTGGCCGACCAAGTAGTCGACTGACTGACCAAGTGACTCGTGAGTGAGTGAGCCTGGTACTGCGTTGGTGAAGTGAACTCTGGTCGGTCTTTTCGCCTTTTTGAACTGAGCGGCAGAGATGGAGGCAGCGATGGTGGTGGTGGCAGCAGTAGCGGTGGTGGTGCTGCGACTGGCCGCTTGCCCGTCCGCTGTCTCATGCTTCAGCGAGTCGACTAAGGCAGAGGCAGCAGTAGCAGGCAGCAGCAGCACCACCACTACCACCAGCCGCATTACTGCAGCATCTAACTGATTCATTCGTTCACCCGTCGCAAACGCGCAAGCTGGCGGTTCGACCGACCGGCCGGCCGCTCAACGAACGAGCGAACCGACTGACTAAGGAACAAACTCATAAGCACATGAAGATACAAACAAACTTGTAAATACAAAAGATACAAACAGAGTTTTGGGCTTTCGATGAAGGATACAAACAAAGTTTCCAGCAATTGCCCGAGCCAATGAGCGAGCGACCAAAAATACAAACAGGTGTTAGACTGTCATTTGAGCCCTCCGCGGCAAAATCCGCATCGGGGAATGAGCTCGCTGTTGACAGACACAAGCGAAGAACGAAATTTCGGAGAATAGAGATTCTCACGGTGACGTTTCCCCTTTCCGTCAGCAATGAATTTGCCGCATTCACCAGAGCCCGCGAAATCCGCAGCCTTTCCGCGATTATACCGACCCGAGATTACTTCATACTCCCAAAGAGATTGGCGGAATCCACCGATGAATCTCATTTTTCCATGGCAGGAGACCTTTGCTAGAATCGCTTCCTCTATCAAAAAGTACGGAGGAAAACAATATTCTAATATAGTTTTATTTTCCTTTAGAGTTATCACAGTATTGGTGTTCCATTGCTAGGTGGATTTCTTTACGCCATTTACTTCTTCGCGGCTGCCGGTGCTGCTGTTTGGTTCGTTGCTTAGTTGGTCGGTCGGTCGCTCGTTCGTTCGTTGGTTCGTAGTCGCCGTCGTCGTCTTTACCGTTGTTGTTGTCGTCGTCGTCGCCGTTCCCTTCCCGTGCCACCCTTCCCGCGTCCGCTTTGTGACTGGCTGCCAGCGGAGATAGAGCGATCGGCGGAATAGAAGAAAGCCCAGAGATAGAACGAAGGGCCGAGGTGAAAGAGACAGCCGACCCGGTTAATCGCATATTTCTAGTCTCTTCCGGTTTGCTTCTAGGAGCCCC